AAAAACCTGCAAGAGTTTGTGGATAGAGAGTGTGGATGTAGATACTGAGTGCATCGCTCCCAACTTCAAACTACTCCAGGCCATAACTCTGGGAAAATTAGCAAGCATTATAGCACTGGGGCCGGTTGTATAAAACTCTTAATCACTTTTTTAATCACTATTTTGTAGTTAAATAGTGTTTAACTCTCAAATAGGCGCTTCTTATTGGATGACGTTTGCACTTAACCATGGTTAACTTTAATCACTTTTTTATACAACCGGCCCCTGATGACCGGAATTCGGAAAGAAAAGGGACCTTATAAATTAAGGCAATTTTCCATTTCAGTCACTTCGCCCGCGCGGGTGGAGCGATCAATTTTAATCGCGTGAAAAATCAGTCGCGCGGGCACAACAAGAAAGTTGAATGTAGTTCTACTTTCATGGCGTGTCCGCGAGCATTCAGGCGGACAAAAATGCCTAAATGAGTAATGTTCGCTCCGCCCGCTCGGGCAAAGCAATTGCATTGGAAAATTGACGACGGCTGTTCACACCAAATCACGCATTCTTGATCTCGTAGAAAGGAAAGTTATAATTAGCCATTTCCCAATCGAGCAGAGGACTGGGTCTAGTTGATGTTTGGAGGGACGTTTGGAAGGACAACAAGTTATAGTGAGCGAGTTAAATATATATTAAAAGATGCCTTATTATAATTGTTGCGTTTCAGGCTGCACAAATAACTTTAAGAATGTAGGAAAAATTCCTTGATGCCATATTCGGCATCAGTGTTTATTTGTTGTCCCTCGAAACAAGCGACTAGACCCAGTCCTCTGCTCGATTGGGAAATGGCTAATTAAAAGCCTCACAGTAAAAAAGTAGGAACTTATCCAACTTTTTCGTGGCGAATTCTTTCGCTGACCAATCACATTGCCAAGATTTGTTTTTCGCTTCGCGCGAACTAATTCGCCCAGTGAAAAATGGGCTTTACTGCTTTAGAGATGTTGTGTTAGCCCTTTTTACAGCGACAAACCAGATATTTTTACTGCACAACAACGAAGCAAAGCTTGCCCCCGAAAGAATGCGGAGTGAAATTATTTACGAAAAATATGCATTATTATTATATGGCTTTTCAAAATTTTCTATTCTGATTGGTTGACAAGCGGTCCGTAAAAACCCATATCCAGACCGTGGGCCGTATTTTCCGTATCTGGACCGGTGTCCCGGATGTCGTTTATCTGGCGGGAAATTTTTGCTTTGCAAACAGAAAAAAGTTTTGCTTTTTAAATTTCCAATTGTGCTTTATAGATAAAAATTTCAAACAACCAAATTGTTTTTGATTGAGCATGCATATTAGTACCGGCCAGTGAAACTGACGATATCTAGCCATTTTAATTTGCGTGAAAAGCATATGCTCACAGACTCAGTTCAGCCATATAATAAACCGATTATTGACCTCGCTTGTTCGGTCTGTACTGTGAAATATCAGTTCCTTCGTTGCTCGCTCCATACTAAAAAACCTCAGTCTGATATTTCACAGTACAGACCTCACGCTCGGTCAATAACCATTTATTATCGCCTCATTATTTCCGTTCATGGCCTACGAAGAGTGAAGGTGGCTCTAAGCTGCGCTAGCGCACGCAAGTGGCAACTGTACGATACTGTGTGTGAATATCTGACTGTGTCATGCCAATTAAAGCATCACCAAAATGTCTGGAGATTCCCGAGTTATTTGTTGGGAATTATTATCAAAGGCAACAGATCTTATAATTGTCGTTGGTAAAAAAGCGAAACGGAGCCACAAATTGAAGTATTTCTGCGATTTACCCTTGCAGCAAATACTTAGATATTGTTATTAATTTCAGCCGAAATGCCGGCCAATGTAAAGTAAATCACACAAATCTGCTTTTAACTTGTGTGGATAATTCGTTCTCTGTTTACACTAAGACGGATGATGCATGGGTCTACATCTACACAGATGTGAGGCACGGTGACCACATATCATAGTTCTCGAGCCGTGTTCTATTAGTATGCTCGTTCCAGCCAGAAGTGCCAATTATATTGGAACAAAATAAATCTTCCTATCAAAGATCTTTCCTGGAACAATAAAGGGTAGTTCGGATCGTTAAGGTCGTTTCTTATCGAAGATCGGGTCAATAATCAGTCTTATGAGTACCGTACATCTGGCATGCGCCTAAATAAGCTAATCGTACCGACCGTACGTCGAATACGCACAAGAATTTTTAAGCGGCAATTAAAATTTCTCAAGTCATACCGCCAGGGCTTCGCCGTATGCCAGCGTATACCACCGTATGCGACCGTGCTTGAAACGTATGTCAGCGTATAACAGCGCATGAGTGATATTTTTCATACGTTGACATACGCTAGCAGTCTTTCATAATTACATGGTGAACAACATCAACGTTGTTACAATTAACAGCTACAATACATGATTTTCTTTAAAAATGATTAAGTCTCTTTACGATTCGTTGGGAGTGAGTCTGTTTAGCGCTAGTTTGCGCTCGCGCCAATCAGTTATGACATAGTGGCGCGAATGAAAAAGCATGTTTATTTTAATTGTTTTTGTCAGCTTTATGCAAGCATATATTCTAGTTTGAATATTTTTAAATATTTCGCATTTTTATTTTCATGTATAAATCTAGCCACTGTATTCACTTGTAGAAAAAAGCGCTAGCAAGCCATGTTAATTGTTTCTAAAAACTTTTCAGCTGGCATATAAAAAACGTTTCCGCATAATTAGCGTGTTACTTTGCTTGAAAAAATTATTTTCCCGGAAAAACGAAACAAAAAGTGAAACTAACTCAACTGCTATAGGCCATGCATACCGTCGATTTAAAATATTTAATTTCAAAATATATATAATTTCATAACGAAAAATGACCGACACTAAATAAAATAATTATAAGGCCTTATAGCCTTTTGCAGTTTGCATGGTGACTGATATAATATTTGTTTTTTAGACTTTTAGTTTGTACTGTTGTTGAATACATCAGTCATGATGTAGCCTGCGTAGCAGTCGCTTTACGACTGCTACGCAGGCCTGCAGTCATCAGTGCGTATAGCCTATAGGCTATTTATATTGAATTTATACTTTTTCTTATTCTGTCATTATAATTGCTGTTATTGCTATAGAATTACGATGTTTTCTACCATGACAAGTCGCCAAAACAAATATAACATTATTTAGATTAACAATCATGAGATTCAATCAGGGACAATGGTAATTGATCGTCACAGAAATTCTTGATATTTGACTCGCTGCAATAAATTGGCGATAAATTGCCACTGAACTGGCTTAACTTAGCTTAATTTAGTGAACACTGAATTGCAATTTCAACAACTTTCGATATTGATGATGTGATACCGTAAATATCCTTGTCCGGCTAAAGAAAAGGAATATTTAAGCTATAAGATCGGTCCTACTGGTCCTAAGACCTAGCGATATATCACATATATATACCAGTAAAAATATTCATGTATAGCCATGAAGTGTTTTTTTACAATTGATCAGACATTTTATAACAGCTTAAAATTTTATCGGCGCTTATACCTGGCAAGGATCCGGATTTGTGAAAATTTCATGCAGGTGCTTCTTTGTCTTCTTTGGATGAAGAAAGCCACCAGAACAAACAATTGAATGCTAATTGAAGATATCTTATTAAAAAATGTTAGAAATCTTATAACTTAGTATATTCTAGTTGAAATATTTAAAGTCTCCTGAGTCCTGTACTGTAGAAACAAAAAGTTGTCAAGACGGACGATGATCATCTCATATCGTCAATCAAAAACGTATTGAATTTAAACTGGATAAAATTTTATCGAATTTTATTTTGAAGTAGCAAGCATGTTATTTCAAGCATATTCTATTATCCTGTTGGGAGTTGGTTTTGTGTCTTCAGATATAAGAAATGATAAAAGATGTGGATGGCTATACGGTAATGCATGTAAGTACGATATGTGCGAATTAATGTAAACAATATGGCAATGTATGCCAATTAATGTAAACATATGTAAACAATAGACAGGTTTACCGTTCACATGCATTAATATTACCTGTAAATCGATTAATTGTATAGCCTCCTCTGCAGGCATCTCTTCAGCCATTTTCCAATTTCAACTGTATGGTAGGGAAGCGTAGAGTATTTCTTTGTTTCCTGAGCACTAGAGTGGAACAAATGACTTCGACACAAAAGAAAATGCTACGGTACGTTATGATACGGTTGAAGTGGAAAACGCCCCTAATCAGGGTGATCGCTATTTTTCCGATCACTCTAACCCTAGACTAATTAAGAATGTCTGCGGAAGAGGCTAGTTTAATTGACAGTACAGTATGAGTACATGCGAATTGCGTTAAAATTGCTTTAATAGAACGCGAGGGATGGGTATTACTGTACATAGAATGAGCGAATTCGTCCGATTATGGATGTAGTTAATAATGGGTCTGACTGTATGCTCGTACTTTAATATGACTAACAACTAAAATATCTTACTGCCTGGGAAATATGTGGAATTTTGTATGAAAACTGACATCCAAAGACCCCGTCCCTAAGGCCTAAGGATAGTCCAGTAATATACTAATTGACAGAAGAGACTTGCCAGAAATTAGCAGGGGAATGGAGATTTTCAAAGAATTGAAAATAATACAACCCACTCAATCTCATACGAGCTTTAAAGAAAAAGCTATGACCCCCAAAAAACACACGGATATCTGGATTGAATTAAACAGATTATGTTAGCTGGATAAATAACCAGGGGGCCCTGGAAAAGGTTAAAATAACAGGAAAATTAACCAGGAATATTATGTTAAATTGAGCCAATTAATAGGGTTATTTCTAGGTTAATCAGAGTGTTTAGTCACTTTAGTGTGTACTGTATGTTGTATACATTTTGTGAGCCTTAAATTTTTCTTAGCTAAATTTAAAAAGTGTATATAGAGACATATTTGTTTTATGTGTGTTTTGCCTCAGTCAAGTTAAGAGAGTACATACTATAAATTATGTTTATAGGTTTTTCTCAGCCAACGTGTATTGATAAAAGTCTTTGCTCTTCTCCGCCATTTAATCCTATTTGTGGAACCGCACTGCCACCATGTAGTACAAGGAATGTTGCAAGTAACAATATTGCTACAACTGAAACCCCCCTACCTACACTCCCATCATTGACGACTTCAGAAACAAAACAGCCTTATTATGGTTTTAAAATGGGTGCTCCGCAATTGAACATGCCTCCTCATCGAGAGCAATCGTTACAACCAATGAATAGTAAGGCTAATACGTAGTTACAATAATTGCTCATGCATTTTTATTATCTTCGTTTCGGTCTGCCATACACTAGGATTGATAGGCCTACGGCTATGAGGAATGTTATGTCTGGACAGTCAAACATTTCGACAATTCAAAGCTATTTGCGTTCTAAGCTCGAGACAGTGAAAACCTGGTCGTAGTATTGCATGGATAATAAATAAAGTATAGAATAGCAAGTTATTGTTCACAAATATTACAGCCATAGGCGTACGAGACAGGGGGGTAGGGGGGGGGGGCAACTGGTCCTCCAAAATTTTGAAAAACCATGGAAATTCGGGCAAATGCTAGGAAAAATCCAGAAAATTCGTGCAGATATATCAGAATACATATTAAAATCAGGTTATTTCATTACAATTCTCCATAATTACGGGCAAACTTTCAACTGCCCCCCCCGGAAAACATCAGTCCAATTCTCCTATGATTACAGCAAATAATGAATTACCACTCCATTTGGATTGCAACAGGGACTTACTCAGGGACCTATACATTTGGATTTCAACGTTCTTTATAAATTAAAATAACCACTCGTTCACAACGATAAAAATATGCTATTCCACTTATCGGTCCGGTTTTAATTTATTTAATAAAATTTCTTTTAAAAAAGTTGCAAATGAATAAAATTATACTTTAAAAGATCGTAAGTTTGTTATGCAAGATATATATTTTAGTATATGATTGTGCATACGATCAACAAAACAAACTGTGTGTTTATACTTACCAAAAGCTCCTTAATTTCCACTCATCGCCAAAACGAATAGAAATTATGCATAATAACGTCACAATCCGTGATGCGCGCAGGGAATTCTGGTGATTGGATGAAATATGAAAGAAAGTACTCGCAGTGAGTTGGTTTTCGCGATGAATGGAAAAGAGTCGTATGACCCCTTTAATTGTTTTGAATTCTCGTTTTTGAGGAATACCTAAGATAGTAAACGCCCCTGTTTCTTCAATCATCTTGAAAGAAAAGGAACCGCTAAGATTGATTTGCTCAGTGGACACAACTGGGGATCCTAGTACACATGTACAATGGATACGTGAGAAAGATAACATGACTGTTGGACAGGGTGAAGTATTCTTACTAAATAACATCAAACAAAGTGATGCTGGAATGTATTATTGTAAAGCACAGAGTGATGGGAGCACCGTTGCAGCGATGGCACAGACGGATGTGACTGTTCAATGTAAGTGAACATTAAACTTGCTCACATGCATGATTTAAAGTTTGAATCCACTAGGTTTAATATCAGTCATCATCACTCTCGTTTTCAAGTAAATTGGAAGGTAAAACGCAGCTGAATTGCATTCACGCCGAACGTTTCGACACTCCTGAGTCCAGACTAGTGTCTTCATTAGGGGTGTACGTATGAAGTTGCAACGTGGCTTCTTTTATACTTGAGGAATGACGTCATCCGCCAACAAGGTGGAAATATTGCTGTGGTAAATAACTACTGTCATCTCTATTCAAAACATGATGATTCATGCATATATGCCTCGCAACATAAGGCCCCCATTTGGACTTAAATCACCCAAGATAAGACTAGATGTTGTGTCGTGAATTGAATTCGAAGGACCTTGTTTTCATTTAAACCAGCCGGTAGCGAGCGAAAAAAATAGTGATATTGAGATGACTCGATCTGAAGTACGCATTCTGTCTACCACCAAACGATGAAAATAAAAGTAATCCCTAGGATACTTTGCAGCTGCAACCTCGGACGTGGCGGTTGACACAAAATTGTATACCCCTTACGATTATAATTCCATGTAAAATCATATTGCGCTTTCTAATCCATCGACTCCCTCAACTCAACTTTGAGATCCCACAACGCTTAACGATTTTACTCTACTTAGGGGGTCCGACCCATACTATGGTTCCGTCACGAGGTTACATCAACAGGCGGTTCTCATAGTTATGTACTAAAATTTAAGACTTCATATTAGAGCCATAACACTACCAATTGTCAGACAATGAGGCCGGTGTATTTTCATTTTTGTTACTTTCCAAATTTTACGGTCAGAAAACAGGGAATAAAAAAGCCTAGCCTAACTTTCATGCCCATATTCTACATTATGCTCGTCTATTGTGATTTTAGCACTTATGGGTCGAGGTTTTAAGATTTTGAGTTTTAACTTTGTAAGGACAAAGTGAATAATTGTATGTAATTTATATTCAAGGTGCACCTAAAGCCTCTAAAGGAGTTAGTCATCGTATTGTAATGGAAGAGCCGGGGGAAAATGTAACATTAATTTGTGAGACAAATTGTAAACCTGAACCAGATTTCATTTGGTATCGCAATACTATCGATAATCCATTAAAGACATGCGAACCTGCAAGTGATACTATGAACCGAGACAGCAGGCGTGGTTCTTTTTGCAATTTAACAGTTTTAGTGAGCACACGTGGTGAGACATTAACTTGTTTGAAAACGAATAGCGTCGGGAATGAGAAGCAAACATTTGAAATAAAGCCACAAGGTATTTAATGGACTACAGTCTATCTGAACATATCGAAAATTGTAGTCCAATTATTTTTTGGTGATCCTACTGGACACGTTCTGGAGTGCCTCCTGGACACGTTCAAAAATTGCTTGACCGTGGTTTGAATCGAACCCGAGATCTTTGGTTTGTTACTCCATTGCTCAATCAACTGCTCTATCAACTGAGCTATACGAGATTAAGTCGGTTAGTTTCGGTTTGAGTAGGTGATATTTCGGACCTCAGTCCAGAGAATTAGAGTAGCAGTACCAGAAAATAATTCACCTAAATTCAACATCACAACCGCCAGAATTACGGTTCCAATATTCTCCGACATTACAAATTGGTCCTTAATTTGATGTTGGAAAATTTCTCAACATATGTTTGGTTAATTAACCAGAAAATTTTCAATACCTTAAAGATAAATAAAATACACTGTTTCTCTGAGTATCAGTATATAAATGATAAGTATAGGTGTGCTTACTTACCTCAAAGCCTACACTATACCATGCACGAAGCACTTTATGATTCCGTTTGGAGTAAAACCATTGGTAGTGAAGATTTGAAGGTAAATCAACCAATGCGACTTTACCACAAACAAGAAAACGTACGCCGGTTTGAAAGAAGCACAATATATTCCTACTGTTGTAGCTACTGACAAGCCGAAATGATAATATAGTAATAATTATAGTTTATTTTATATGTATTATATAGCCGTCTACCTGAGAATTAATGAGCAGTTGTAACCATTTAATTACGTTTAACATTCCTCGAACGGATTTGCGGAGCTAATGTGATTGAAAACTTCAAATACTTCTTTTCGTTTTTCGGTGAAGAATGCACCATGTTTTTATTTACGACCTTTTAGTCCTGGCCAATTAGGGGGTGTCTGCTAGAATTAGGGGGTGTCTAATTAGGGGGTGTCTGCTAGAATTGCCCTGCGAAAGCCGATGATGCCCTGCAGGAAAAAATTGGGGGGGGGGGGCACTATTTTTACTAAAAAAAGTTGGCGAGTGGGGGAGGGGGGCGGTCGACAAAAATTTTTTTTCCGGACATTCAAAAAAGGGGCGAAAAACTTTTTCCGGACATAAACCAGTTAAATTAAGGGTCAAAAAATTTTTTTGGACAAATTTCTGTTAAAACATGCATGAAACCCTTATTTTTTTACCAATATCTGTAAAATTTATGTCTACTATAAATTCTATTCAATTCCCTCTGGAAGCCGCGGAAGCTACTTAATAACTCTACATTCTATCATTTAAAATCTTTCATTGCCCTGCCAATCCAGATGATTTGCCCTGCCAATCCAGCTTTGGGGGGTGTCATACTCCCCCCACACCATCTCAAGTTTCGTCTCTGAGCTAGCGACAGAGTCATACGACCTAACATTATGGAAACATTATAACAAGTATTAAATGGATTGCGTCTTATAGGGATTAGTATAATATATTTTAATAGACAGAAAGTTATTATTTTTTAGCAAAGAGTCCAAAAACGATTTCAAGTCGGTTGCTTGCAGGTAATTACAATATAAATCTGTTTTCATTATTTAAGGTGTCTGATATATAGGTGTTTGAAATCCAGGCTAGGGGCACATGTGTGCATGAGTTAAATGTGTCCCAATGTCCCGGCTCCTACGGCACTGATAACCACTGAATATATAATCGTAATTGAAGATAAAAATCTTCATGTAACGCAATTTGAGTTACGTTTTTGCCAGCTAAACATTCTGGCTTAAAATTACACCTATCATTGAAATGCTTCCCTCTTATATATAATTTCTCTTTGTGAACAGCACCACAAACATTAAAAAATGATGATCGAAGAATATTCGAAGCTGTTGGGTGTTTTGCCAAGTGTGATAACTGTGTTTCAAATTTTCCTGAACTACTTTTTATCGACACTGGGCAAACAGAACACTATGGAGACTCGTTACAGGAATATACCAGGCAATTCGTACATCGCTGTGCAAAAGAATCACAGTCACGCGGATTTGATTATTTTGGCATTGCCAGTTATGGTGAAGTATTAAGATGCAATCATATAAATAATATTATAAAATCGGTCTTACGTAAGGGATCGGTCATATGCAGGGACGTAGCCAGGGGGGAGTCGTGGGAGCCGCGGCTCCCCCCCTTTAGAAATATTAATTGCTAAATCATATATATAAACTTACTTCAAAATTAATTAAAATAAAATTGATTCTCGACACAGTAACATGCTTCAAAATCAAAGTAGAGTGTCCAAGAGTTTGTCAAAGATCAGTGGTATTGAAATATAATAATAAAATAGACGCTCTCTGACCAAAAATATATATTTATTACAAGCTTTCGGTTACAAATCTGTAGCCTTCAACGGGTATGAGTGTATTAAATATGAAACTATAGTCTATTATTGTATATACAGAAAGATTAGCATAATTGCGTATGAAATATGAGTGTGTATTGTCAACTATGACTGCTTTTTTATAAGAACAGTATATTGTCCGGCTCTCAAGAGGACATGAATTGTTGTCAGCATCAGTTGTTAAGGCTGTATGCCATGACTTGCAACTTGCATTTCTTGACACCTTAGTTTCTCGCAACAACGGCTCAATTTCAACCACGGTTTACCGTAAACCTACACACACTGACCGCTACTTAGATTTTTCATCACACCATGACGAAAAACATAAGATTAGTGCAGCCAAAACTCTAATTAATAGGTCTTTACATTTACCAAGCAACACATCATGCAAAATCCAGGAATTAAATCACGTTTGTGAAGCTCTCACATTCAATGGCTATCCCAAAAACTTGGTTACGAGAATCACTCAACAACAAAGAAATGCACCAACTCCATCTTCTGAAGAATTAGTCAGAACGTTTTTTGAATCGGTTGAAGGAAAAACACAACCCACAGGATACGCAGTTTTGCCCTACATCAAAGGCCTCACGGAACCTCTTACAAGGTTACTACAAAAGCACGACGTAGAAGTTTGCAACAAGCCAATGAAAACCCTCCAGCAAGAATTTCCATCCGTAAAACACCGACCATCATCCGAAAATCAGACAAACGTGGTTTATCGTATACCGTGCCAAAGTTGTCCATGGAGCTATATAGGAGAAACCGGAAGGTCGCTGAAGACAAGAAAATCGGAACACGTAAGAAATGTAAAGAATCACAAGACTGGATCAAATGTAGCAAAACATGCATGGACTTATGACCACAGGATTGACTTTGAAAACGCGGATGTTATCGATAAGGGAAATTTTAGGACCCGGAAAACTCTAGAGTCATGGCATACACGCGGATGTTATCGATAAGAGAAATTTTAGGACCCGGAAAACTCTAGAGTCATGGCATACAACCTTAACAACTGATGCTGACAACAATTCATGTCCACTTCCCTGACAAAAAAAGCAGTCATAGTTGACAATACACACTCATATTTCATACGCAATTATGCTAATCTTTCTGTATATACGTACAATAATAGACTATAGTTTCATATTTCATACACTCATAGTCATACCCGTTGAAGGCTACAGATTGGTAGCCGAAAGCTTGTAATAAATATATATATTTTTGGTCAGAGAGCGTCTATTTTATTATTATGTTTCATCCTGGCCGCGCATCTGCCTCGAGATCAGGTATCGAGATAACCCAGATGTTGACGATTCTACTCACGGATTTGATTATTTCCGCATAGCAGTCATGTATATCCCATTTTTGGATACAATTCTTGACCAATTGCGATTTCGATTTAATGAAGAAACGACGTCTGCTGGTTGTTTGATACGCTGCTTCCAACTAACTGTGTAAAGAATGGTGCAGTTGAAGATGAATTCATGCAGCTTTATGGAAACTACTCTCAATATCTTCATGCTAACAATGTTATGCCTCATGATACTAGTGACATGAATGCTAGAGGTGGAAAAGTATCGGAACCTAGGAACCTAGTTCCCAGAAACTTTTAGGGATCTAGAGTTTTGCAGAAATTTTCATATAGCCTACATTTTTTATGTTTGATAGCTAATCCTTAAAATTACACTGATTGAATATCGACATTATTAAATACCTCTATTACATGATTATTGAAATGATTGAATACCAAATTAATTTACTTAATCGATACCTAAATTAGCTATCGCAAAACAGTTTGGATAATATTCATTTCTTTTCAGTCCAGTATAAGACTGTAACTAATGTCAACTACTTTTGGCAACACATCTTAATTAAAGAACATAATCCATGTAAAGTAAAAGTCACAAACAACAATTTTGTTATATTTCCCTATATATATTGTAATATTTGGCAGAAAATTTTGAGCCTTAAACCCAGGTTACAAGAAAGAGAAAAACATTTTCCACCTCTGATGAATGCCTAATTAGCGCAGTACCGATTGTGAGTTGCTAAATGGAAGACAGAATTTTCCAGTTCAACTGATTCATCAACTGATCACATAGCAACATTATCATTTTGCGATCCCAATGTTTTTCCAAGCATTTACGCCATTTTAACTATTGCTAGCAACATGCCCATATCAACGGCAACCGTTGAGCGCAGTTTTTCGTCTCTACGGCTTCTCAAGACATATTTGCGTCATCGAACAACTGAAGATCGTTTGAATTCCTTGGCCATGATGTACATCTACGATACCGAACCAGTTGATGTAGGAGTAATCGAACGTTTTGCCAGTATGAAAGTGACGTTTGTTGTTATGATTTAATCGACTTAATTCGAACCTCAGTGGTTATATAACGACATAACTTACATTATATTACATTTGAAATTTGCTGTCTACAGTTGATAGCTACAATTCGGAAATTTGTAGTTGGTCCTCGTCCAGTGGCCTGAACCATCCAACCTCAGTAACCTCTTTCTAACCAATAATCCCCTCCCCCTTTTGGCTATACGACAATGCCACCAACTCTGCATATAGCTCTTTTGCAGCAAACGTATATGACCATTACTATACATTTAGCCTGGCCTCATGGCTCCCCCTCCCCCCCTTTTTCAAGTCTGGCTACGTCCCCGGTCATATGTCAGTACATATGGCACCGAAGAGAAACGGGTTGGATAGATAAAATTTTGGTAAATAATTGAAAACGAATATTGCCATTTCCAAGGCGTGACTCACTAAAGCCTAGTTTCCATTTGGTCGTTAGTTGTCGCTAGCACGACAAGCGGTAGATGTGAAATAGTCTAATATAATAATAGTCTTTTGTGTGTTATATGCAAATCAGTCTTAATGATTGCAGAGTTTTATAAAGTTTTGTCGACGCTCTATTACAGCAGCCACTTGTCGTGCCAGCGACAATTAACGACCAAATGGAAACTAGGCTTAAAAAGGAGTCTACGGTCATATGTCAGTACAATATGTAAATCAATCAGTCACTATCTTGATCATTTTCCGATTTGTCAGGAGGCAAATGGTGTCTCCAAAGAAAGTACATGTGCAGACAGCATGATAATTTAGACTGCAGAAAATTGCACAAGCAGTTTATCTAACTCATATTGCAGAAGTGATAAAGGGCGTGTGTGACAACTGAGGGTATCCTTTTGTAACGTTTTGGGCCAGGGGTGGGTACTTTTTTTTAATTGATATTTGAGTTTGGGTAAAGATTTTCTTAACTTTTAATGGTCGGACCGTGGTAACATTTTTACCAAGAAAATATTTCTCTTCGGTGCCACAGTACGGTGAAAATGTACAACTCCAATAATTAAGACATCTCAAAACGACCTATAACCTATATCAAGATTAATAGTGCGTTTCCGTGTGGAGTGCATATTGAACGGATTGTGGAGTAAACATTACTAGTAGTACAGTTTCGATCTTGGAAATAGGACTTGAAACCAGCAGCTCCAGTAATTTCTATTACCACCTCATAAATATTTTCAAGATATAGTAGTGGCGAATGCAACTTATGTACAGTATACTAGCTGCCACTGTTTTGTGATGTTCTGTTTGGTTGCATTGACTGTGAAATACTCTCCCATACGAAAAAATCCTTTATGTATTTCAATAGGAATTCCTATTGAATTTTGGTCCAATTCCAATGGCATATAGTAAGAATTTCTCAGAATAAGGACCTACGGGAAAAGGAAAATAATTAGATGTTGTCCCATTTCTAAACGAATTCCCGTAGGATTTTTTCGTAATGGATTTATTGTTGTACATAGTAAAAATAAAGAAGCTCAACAATGGAGTCAACATATTTTAATGCATATTATGTCTTGTTAATAATAAATTATATTTGTCTTTTTTTCCTAGATCAATGCTATTCTGGTGATCAAACAGTGAAAACATTCGATCGTTTTGGTAAAAGCAGTACATGTATAACTGGCGGATTTAAACTATGTACACCAAATCCTGATAACCTTTGTATAGGACAGTGTTCTTCAATCTATGTCTATAAGTTTAAAGGTATGAGTGGCAAAGGCCATGTTACACAAGGCAATTTTTGCTGCAACTTGCAGTGTAATTTTTTGACATGGAGCCATATATATTAATTACCTAAAACGGTGGACACAGGGACTTAATTGTGAGAATGGCCAAAGGTTTATTCTGGCGACATATTTCATCCCATTCTTTCATTTTTCATCCCCTAAAGGCGGTTTTCCACTAGACGACATTTTTCGACCGAATCGAAATTTCTTTTTGTTTCATGAGCTCTCGAGCAGAACTAATTGTAAAAAGACAAAGAGAAATTTTGTTTCGGTCGAAAAATTCCGCCTCGTGGAATCAGGCCTTAAGAGTACGTTTTGCAAAGAAAGTATCGTAGAATTCGGGCCAGGGTCGTGCGCAGTGGGGATGGGGGGGGGGGGAGGCAGAAGGGCACCTTCTAACTTATTAATTTTATGTTATAAATTATTATATTATTTTAAATTATTATGATCTCGTAAAATAATTCTCGCCTTAGAAGTTTCCACTCGAGTGCGTGTCGTCAGTGGAACATGACAGACTTGTCAATTTGAAACATTGCTTCTTATGGAAATTTTAGAAAAGTAATCAAATACACTCAAGCTTTCAAGAACAATATAATATTGTTCAATTGAACACTTCTGCATGGAAAAGACGTAGTATTTGTACAAATTTGGTAGATTTATTTATTATTTATTGTATAGCGTAGTGAGGGCCATCATGAGAATCATCGGGTAACCAGTAATGGTGTTTTTACCCTCGGTAAATAAATTATTTTGACTTTTAATCAGAATTGATGTGATATGATGTTGAATGCATTGACTTTTGGTTACTTATTTCTTTAGGTATTACTGTCCCCCCACCGGGGTGAAAAATATTCTGTGTACGCCCCTTATGCGGGTCATACTCGCAATTTTCCTTCGACTACATTTTATATAGCCTGGCTCTCTATATGTTGGAAATGCGTTGCAAGTTTCATCGTAATTCCCACGGGTACTGTAACATGGTCCTCTAAGGTGTAATTCAATTAGCCTTTCTCACGCCGCCATTTTTGGGTGGCATTTCGGCCGAGGTCTGCGAGATAAGTCCACATAACAGCGAGATTTTATAATTTTTTTGACGAATGATGGTAAATTTGCTTTGTAAATAGTTAGTTTATTTTGAAAAATTGCTTTTCACATTATTTTAATTGTCTGCATTGGATAACGAAAATTTGATGCCACCCAAAAATGGCGGATATTCGTCATCGTGAGAAAGGCTAATTGATCTAATGACCGATACTCATAGCTAGTAGCTATTTGTATGTCGCCAATGAAGGAAAACAAAACGAATTCGAAAATCAGAATTCGACTGAAGGACGTCGATCGATCGGTCTAAACCAAGTGGGATTATTCACAGACCGGCTGTTCTCAGCACTGAAATATGCATTGCGTCACGTACAAATTAACTGCCAGACGAAAAAAATACATATTAACATTAAGCGCAGCGTAACTACGTCATAGACTCTAGCTCGATCACGAAGTGCTTAACTAACAAATAGTTTTAGGACCTATTCAGGAATTTACAGCGTGAACAAGAGTTATATAATGAACCAGGATGTACCTAGTACCTTGTGCGAATTTTTGAAATGGAAAAACAACCACACGGTAAACTGTGTAATTGTAGACACGTTGCTCCCTTCTATTTCATTGGCACGGCAAAATACATGACTTCAAATTAATAATAAGAAGAATAGACTGTACTGTTTATCCCAATGGCCTATTGTGGCTATTTTCTCATGCTACGTGCACAATGTCTTTAAGGATGGGCTCGTCATCAAGATATTCGTGCACGGAACATAGGTAACCTTCATGTGCATCTGCCATGCTGCAACAGGCAAATATGAAACACTGAAAGTCTGTTATTATTCAGTATTTTCTCTCTTTGATAATTTCAAATTGCACGATAGTGTCTTATAAAATCCATCATGAGTATTGGAATAGGCTGATTCCAGCTTTTAATTTAATTTTTCACGCAGGGCGTGATGGGAAGTA